ATTTTGCATCTGTGAATTCAAGGCTTTGGAGCTACTTTGTTCAACTTTCATGTAGTGAAATATTTTGTGTGATATCAAGAACAAAGTTCTGGCAATCCGGAATGGAGTTTGTATTTTCCAAAAACTTTGAAATTAACGGGAAGAGGATATTCCTGGAATTGTGCTATGAACTTTACTGTAGTGTTTTGTGCTAAACATCTTGTATTTGTTGATACTATGCTGTTGTTCCAAACTGGCAGATATTTTATGACTCTTTGGATATAAACAAGGTTGGTTTTGGAGAAATATAAAAGCCACAGCAGCTTGTTTCCCAGGACATCACTCCACAGCAGGTAAGCTCACACATATGCTGAGAGTTTCAGATGCTGTGTGGTTGATGATGCGAACACCTTATTTTGAAAGCTTGTACTATATTGTTGATGCTATTTTTTTTTTTCAAAAGATTCAGCAGAAAAATATTGATGATATAAAGAACATAGCATAATTGGTGTGGAAAATGTTCAGCTCAAAACCACAGAAGGGAATCACACCATGACAAATACTGATTCTATAATCTTTGGAAACGTTTCCTTTTGTGTGGGATGTGTCTGTATTAGGGAGTAAAGGATTGGATCTGACTGTTGAAACTGACACGTCTCATTTCTGTTTTCAGCAAACAGCTCACCTGTAAAAAAAAGGAGACTGAAAGAACAGCCATGTGCATCAACCCGGGCTACCCGTGCGAATGTTTGACCAGTGGTAATTTATGTGAGCCCTGCAAGATGACAGCCCAGGACAGGGAGCTGGAGGAGGCACACCTCTCCAACAACATAAATGCAGCAGACTCAGCCATGGGTGTCAGTGAGCCAGAGATGGACGCTTCCTCAACTGAAGGTGCACGGGACCGGGGCAGAAACTGGGGATGGATGTTGTCTGCGATCATCTGCCTCAACATCCTGATCTTGGGTTGCGCCTTCGTTAGTGGGAGCACTTCGAGCAGTGTCAATATCGACATCACAGACCTGCAGATTTTCATTGTCTTCCTGTTCCTGCTCACCTCCGTCTGGATGGTCTATTTCACCATTTACAATTCAAAGACAGAAAATGCTGTCTTCAAGGACAGGCATGCAGGACCCATTTGGCTCAGAGGTACAGTGAAAAATTTAACTGCTAAACAATTTATGTATGTATGTCTTGGACAGTTTAATCACTTTCCTCTACATGTTGCTTTGCTTTTAGCTGGACTTCTTCTGTTTGGAGTCCTCAGTGTCATCATGGATGTCTTTAAGATTGCCAGCTATGCGGGTTACCTCCACTGTGACCCAGGTGTTTCCATCAAAGTTAAAGTTGCATTTCCAGTGGTACAAATTGTCTTTATTCTTGTGCAGGTAAAAAAACAAAAAACATAAAAACAAAAAAACAAAAACGACATGAATAAAAAATTGGCATTCTTAATGTTCTCCATTTCCGGTGGTTAGAAAATGTTACAATTTTTGTATTTTGCACTTGCAGACATACTTTCTGTGGATTCATTCAAGGGACTGTGTGCAGGTCCAAAAGAACCTTTCACGGTAGGTTTTTAGGGTATTTGCATGTTCTTTATTTGTTTATTTTCTGTCCCAGCACACACGAGACACTCTACCTGAGAAACAAAGAAACGAAACCTGTACTTTTGCCTCTCCAACCACCATTTAAATATGGGGTGGAGATGAGTGGATAGCAGTGTCTCAGAAATGGGCTGCAAGATGAATAATGGCTTTGATGTTAACTTAATTTATACTGTATGTAGAAAACAAGACAAATCTGTGTAGAATAAGAGTATGGCTTAATGGGTTTAAAATCCAAATAAGGTCTACAGACTGGGACTCATCTGATTTGGCTGATATTGGTTTATGTTCTACTCTACAAGAAGCTCATTCAATCCTGAGTAAAATCTATGTGGGACCCAAATCCAGAGGAATTTCGGGTTGCAGCATTTATCTTACTTAATGCATTAACTAAAAAAAGAGAACCACAAATTTCTTTACTGTTAATATTCTTGACTTTTACAGGCTCTTAAACATAGGAGTTATTTGTTTTGGATATAAAAATATGAGAAAATAACTGTTTCACTTCATCAGGCTTTTCTATATAAATATATATATATATATATATATATATCAATTGACTGCTTTGTTTTTGTTTAGCAGTAATTTTGCAAGCTTTCTTTAGAAAGATTTGCCGTTTTTGATTTATAATCATTAGCAGCTATGCACTAAACCGGACTGTCCCCAGCTGATAGGACTAACCTACTGATTCTAAATTTGACTGAACCTGATATCTATACTGTCACACATAAAAGAGAAAAGTGCTGTAGGTACCTTGATGAAGGCTGTGGTTTTGAGTCAAACAGAAAATGAAAGGTTTGCAATAAAAACCCCAGTTATGCATAAAAATATTTAAGCATCATAGAATGTTTGCTAAATGCAAACGAAAGTGCATTTAAGTGCTCATTGTTGGTTGATGTTTTATAGACCAAAAATGGTCTTAGCTTTGATGCATTTATTAAATAGAAAATAATTCAAATTTTTTCTGTATTTGACCTGCAAACTGATGATTATACGTAATCAAGTGTGAACTAGAATAGCGTGGGATGTGTCTCTGGAATAACTTTGTTCATTTTCTCTGTCTTTTTGATATTTTAGATGTGGGCTGATGCTTACCCTCTCCACAAATCTTGTTTTATGGATGACTGAGGTCACTGAGGAGTCTCTTCATCAAACAGTTTTCCCAGATGAGCCGACCAATGTCACCAAGCTCTCAAGAAGACAGATGTACATCAATAGAGGTAAGCTAAGCAGATGAAAGCTGGTTTCACAGTCATTAATGAATAAACAACGTGACACTGTCATATCTGTGTGGAATTACAGCCAGTTATGGGAATGACAAGTGCGAGTGCAGCCACAGTTCCTGCAGCATCTTCAAGGATGCCTATTACTACCTGTACCCTTTCAACATCGAGTACTGCCTCTTTGCCTCCGCCATGGCCTTCGTCATGTGGAAGAATGTGGGACGAGTAGCGTCAGAAAGCAACCACCACCACGTGAGATTCAGCCTCAAGCAAGTATTCATCGGTCCTATTTTGGGGCTCCTCCTTGTGGTCGCAGGCATCGCAACATTCATTGAGTATGAGATTGAAATGAAAGCAAAGTCAGATGAAGAGAGCCGTGATACAGCAGTGATGATACACTTTGTCATAAATATCGTCATTGTCACATTGATGTCTGTCTGCACCGTCATCGGAAGCGCTATCTTCAGGGTGGACCACAGGGAGCACATCTCAGAGAAGAACCCCACCCGCAGTCTGGATGTGGGGCTGCTAGTGGGAGCCTCGCTGGGGCAATTCATCATCAGCTATTTCTCCATCGTAGCCATGGTTGCAACTGGGGCCAAGGGTCACCTGAACAGGCTCAATTTGACTTGGGGAATACTGATGGTGATCCAGCTAGGCCTGCAGAACTTTTTCATAATTGAGGGCCTGCACCGGGAGCCCTTTCATGAGGTGGAGGCTGACACAGTGGTTGAAAATCAGTACGTGGTGGAATCCAGCAAAGATGGAAGGAAACTTGAAAAAGTAGACCTGGACAATAATCCCAGACCTGATGTAGAAGCACGTGGCCACGGTGGGAGAGCGGAGCACAAACACAAACTCCTGTGGAAGAGGCGAGTGTTGAGAGAGGTCTGCGCATTCCTGCTGCTGGGTAACGTCATTGTAAGTACCTTTTTTCCCCTTTTACTCACATCCACTGTGATCGGTTCACTTAACACTAAGTCTCTTCTTTCTTTTTTTCACAGCTGTGGATCATGCCAGCCTTTGGTGCTCGTCCCCAGTTTGATCATGACACCGAAACACAGTTTTACCAATCCAGCATGTGGGCTGTTATCGTGAACGTGGGTCTTCCTTTCGGCATTTTTTACCGAATGCACTCAGTTGCCAGTTTATTTGAAGTCTATTTAAACTCATAAATCAACATCTTGCAATGAGTGCACAAAAAGCTGGATCTGAGCATTACTAAACTGTTTTGTACTGGATGTTCTTGATTAGTGCTTTTCATCAAAAAGGGACAATATCGATTACTTTCTAATGAAGTGGCATCAATATGTGACGGTGTAAATTTGTTCAAAATTGTATTCATATGAATGCCTTGTATAGCTAATCTTGTAAAAGCTGATTTATTCTGTTAACTTTATTTGCAAACAATAAAAAAAAAAAATTAAACCATGACTATTATTATCATTAATTATTTTTGTTGTTTAACTGTGATTATTATTATTATTATTATTATTATTATTATTATTATTATTATTATTATTATTATTGCTATTATTGATGTTGTTATTTGCAGTAAACTTTACTACCCTTTGTCTGAGATAATGGTTTTGGGACACTATTAACATTTTTCATTAGGTCTAAAGAGCACAACAATACATAAATAAATGTAAATACGCAATACACCCATATTTAAAAACCTTAGTTTTAGTTATTAAAAATATTATTCAATAGGTCCCTTCATACTGTATTTAAACATGCCCAAAATAAAGCAGCTGATAAAGTAGTTGATACCTCATTCACTGTAAAACCAATGGTTAACATACAGATATCTGCTTGACAGAGCCCCCTGGTGGTACAAATCTGTCACTGGAATACCCAGCAAACCTGATTGACTCACTGGGTCCCGAAACCTTTAAGCTCACAGTTTATACAATTACAGCAGAAAGAAACACCAGCTAATACAGGAATACCTAACAGACTAAGCAAAGAAATTATGGCAATCGACTTTAATCAAATCTATTCTACTAATGGTGGCACAACTGTTCCATACAATCATTTTTTAACTTCTCCATGGTCTGTTTTTGGAGATTATACCTCCTGGTGATGTTTAAGACCAGCACCCGGTCGTATGTTTGTAGCAAGCGACTCCTGTTGATAAAATCATGGTGTGTAGATATTAGAATATTTAAATCAGGCAAAAATGATGGCCACCCTTTCTTCAGGTCCTTAGCACAAGAGTTTGTTTACATCCACGTCATCAGGAAACTCATTCTGTGTCAGAGATGCATCGACAGGTGATTTATTTAATATATTTTTTGTCACATTTATGAGGTTATTGCTTGATTGAGCATTATGCGTCATATCTGTCTTATGACTTAAAATATACAAAAATACGTGTTGGGAGCTCGGAACAAGATTCTTGCTAATTTCGTGTGTGTGTCTTCATGTTTTTAATGTTTAAAGGACTCTACAGAATCGCCTCTTTTTGGTGAGGAGGACAACTTCAGACTTAAACAGTCTAACATTAAGTAGGATTTTTTTAAATTTTTTTTGTCTACTCACTTATCATGGACAAGTAAGCTGGTCTTTAAATAAAATTCAAACGTGTTTTTCAGACATCCTTTGGCATCGTTCTTCCACCTTTTCTTCCGCACAAGTGCCATCTTGGTTTATTTACTATGTGACCTTATTAGTAGTCGTTTTATTGTGTGCATGGTCACCATTATCCTCCTGCTTTCATGCGACTTCTGGACTGTAAAGGTGAGCGTGTCTGATTATTAAAAAAAATCTACATGTATTAATTCCGCCTGAAACACTTGTTTGTTATTATCTAAAATGGTTTATTGTTCGTTTAAATTTTATAATTTTGAATTGAATGTGTTTAGAATGTATCTGGCAGATTACTGGTTGGCCTTAGATGGTGGAATCAAGTGGATGAAGATGGGAGAAGCCACTGGATGTTTGAATCAAGGAAGGTAAACACTGGGGAAAAAAAGTGTTAACCTTTAAAGTCCCTGTTATAGAAGTCTAGAAACACTATTCATCATTGGCATGAATGTCATATTAATGTTTTTAGCAATTTATATAACCTCTCTTTTATTTCAAATTGGAAAGGTAAGACAACCAGAACTTATATGATTTATATAATTATTGGCGTTTGAATTTAGGGAATATTTGGTATTTCACATATGAGCTAAACTTCACGTAGAAATGAAATTGGTTGACATCATAGCACAACCGGTACCACTATGGGTGCCTCTACTGAGCTTGAGAGTTGGTGCACTTGATTTTGATTTGAACTAAAGGACATTTAACCAAGTATTACAGGAAGTGTATGTAATTATTTCAGCCTGAATATATCATTTTGATCCAGTGTGGAAGAGTTAAAATTCACATTAAATTCAAACTTGGGATCCACGTTTTTATTTTAGAGTCATGTCTGCTCGTAAGCCTCTGGCCAGTCCTGTACCTTGACTTTTCTTATGGAATAAAATGCAAGTGACTCTTAGATTATCGTATTTATCAGGATTAAGTAAATTGTCACCATCCTCTCTAAACAGTCTGATGGTGTCAGCAAAATATCCGCTGCAGAGTCGCGGCTCTTCTGGCTTGGCCTTATCGTGTGCCCCATTTTTTGGGTCATCTTTGTCTTCAGCACCATCGTCTCATTTAACATCAAATGGCTGGTGAGTTCAGTGCCTTGTGTATGTGTCAGATTGCTACCTGTATAAAATACTGCCATGTATGTGATGATTCCCTTTGTGACTTTGCACCTCAGGTTGTGGTGATAATGGGGCTGGTTTTGCAATGGGCTAACTTGTACGGTTATGTCAGATGCAAAGTGGGTGGAAAGTCGAGCCTGAGAAACATGGCAAAGTCCTACCTCAGTGGGCAGATTTTCAAACAGGTTTGTGAAGTGTCACGCTTACCTTTACTATTAATGTATTGTCAGAACACATTGTGACACTTATCTTTTTTTTTTTTTTAAAGGCCATGAAGGAAACGACAAAAAGTTGAAACTGAATTGGAGGCACTCAGACACAAAGAGGTGGTGGGGCTCAGAACTCGATGGAAGTTAGTATGTTTGTAATTGAGAAGGTAGACGGTTATCTTCCTGTTTCTTTACATGTGGTGATTCTAAGAAATTCAGTGTCGGATAGTAACACAAGGTGAGTTTTTTTTTTTTTTTTTT